AGGATGATGGGACTCAGGATTTTACTTGGCGTCGACAGGATAATGATTCCTTGCCAGTTCTTGCAGAGTCCCAGGTCGCCCTTCTTTGGTAGTTTCACCAGGTAACCTTTCCTCCAGTCAGTAGGCACCTTTCCCTCTTTCCAGATCTTTTGCAATAATGGAGTCAGTATATCTGCCGTCGTTTCTGGGTCCGCTTTCAGTGCTTCCGGGGTATTCCATCTGGTCCAGCTGCTTTTCCAGCTTTCAGAAGCTTGATTGCATTCATGACTTCAGTTTTCGTTGGAGGATTGGTGTCAACTTGCAGTTGTGTACGTGCTGTTGTTGGTATTACTGGACGGGTTGTAGGTGGTGGTCGATTCAAGAGTCCTTTGAAGTGGTCCACCCATTGTTTAATGAAGTGGACCTTAGTTCAAATTAATTGATTTACCAAGGTAGGTTAAGAGTTACAACAAATAATTTTCGGACAAATGTGACAAGTTTAAGCGATTTCAAACGTTCAATCAGCTCTCAGAAACGATATTTATTTATCCTTAGCGTCCAAGAGTGATCAACAAAGTCTTATCACTAAACGTAGACTCAGTGTGAGAATTAATTTGGACTTACTATGCAGCTAAACTTATCTTCATAGAGAAAACGAGATCTATGCTATCCTGTACACCCTCACAACATCCAAAGGATACTGTCACATCCCGTTGTTTTTACCAATTTACATGTATGTGTCGTTACACGCACACAGGGAGGGACCCATTAGTCTCTGCAGGTCAGGGCTACAGAACAAATTTCAAAGTGGCTGCAACAATAAAATAAAATCACTGGATACAAGTGATCCTGGAAACAGATGTCCAACATCATCTGTCGCCAAGCACATTATAGAGATGGGTCATTAGGTTGATTTCAGTAGTGGCTTTAAACCCATATATAAACTAAGGTTGTTTCACATGCTTAAATTTGTTGAAGCCTTTGTCATTAGAAGGCTTAAACCTGTCTTATGTGTCCAAAAGTTATTTGTGATTACTCTAAACCTATAAAACACAAAATAATCGAGCAAAGAATATTCCTTTCGATAAATTCCTCTTCCAGGCTCTACAATTATATATGCATGTTTATATACACAGAATATTTGAAATTAGTAGTTAATAACAATATTAGCGTTTTTTTAAATAATATCGATTTGTGAAGTATGATCACAATGGAATTACAGTTCATTAAAGATGCCTAAATTATAACAATAATAATAATAAAGATATAACAGCGAATAGAATATCAACTAAAATTAGAGGAATTTCACAAAAATTCTGGATTATTCAAACCTGGATGGCCAAGATAATGATAATGACTGAACTAACTTCCTTTGGGCGCATAAATTAGGCTTATTAATATGAATCCCCACAGCCTCAGCAATATTTAGTAGTTGAACTCTTAAGGCAAAATTGAGGTTCATAGGTATGCGTTAAATTACCCTGAAAGCATGGTTGACGTCAATCTTGTGTTCTGTATCCAAAAGATGAGATAGAATAGCGTTGAGAATAGATTTTGTTTGTCCTTTGCTTAACCGCGCGGGGTGCTATTCGACGAGAAACACGCCTGATTGTACGGTCTTCGTAACTGGTTGCACAGGAGCAGTTAAATTGGTATATACACATGGAAGAGGCGAAATTAGGCAGTTTGTCTTTTATTCCCGAACGCAGAAGAGGAGTGGTTTTAAAGATACAGCGTAATTGAGCAGCAGGGAATGCTCTTTTTACCGCATTTCTAAGGCGCTGTGTTAGTATCTCACTTGTGTTGTCTCCTAGGAACTGCATCTGTAAGAACAAGGCTTTCTTTGGAACTGTTGGTAACTTGGACTGTTTTGGTTTTAGATTCATATTCTTATCAATAAATTTTTCGGGATAACCATTCTCACTTAGCAACCGTTTAATATTGTTAAGCTCCTCGCCAAGACATTCATCCGAACAAATCTCTCTTGCTCTGTGGACCAAGCACTCTAAACCTGCCTTGGTAAGCCAATATTTTTGAACTAAGGTTCAATTCATATGATAATATTTTCACCCTCTTCTTTCTTTTTTTTCTTACCCTACATCCTTACGTCATCTTTCTACCTCTCATTTGTGACCTCGACCTGTACTGTAGTAATATGTCATGCTCCTTTACCATCTCTGTGAATGTGTATGACAAGTACGCGTGTGTGTGTGTATGATGAGAATGTCTGAAATGTGTTGCACAAATACACATTTCAGATAAACTATGTCCTCTTCGCATATCTTTGATTTCAGTAAAAAAGACGAGGTGCAGTGGAATTTGGGTAGTTGGGAGTCTTTAAACTGTCTGAGCTAAGTAAGCAAAAATGATCGGTTATCCTGTGTTTAGATCCCGTTGATCTGGTTATAGATGTGAACTGTTTTCCACTAACCTGTTACTGTATGGCCAATATTTTACTTCAAAATATAACGCTGAGATTGACATAGGGACACCAAGTTGGACACAGACGTGTTGATCACGCCAACAACATTATACGACAGCTACTTGTTCTTAACCACACACACCCCCAGCCTTATATATCTAACTGAGAATACAGAACGACGTGAACAGTAGAGTTTATTTCAGTATCAGCCACAGCAGTTTATTTTACATAATAACGCATGGTTCAACAATCACCAAAGTAGCATATTGTCAATTAGTTTATGATAATGACCAATAAAAATAGTGGGTGTCATTTTAAGCAGGCTAAATTCCGATTGGTTTATTTCCAGACCAGCTATCGATCACTTACATAGATCAATCCTGATTGGCTTATTTCCATAATGACCTTGGTCACCATACCACCCACAAAAGATATCTGTCTACATACCAATGAGGCAGGCTGAAATGATAACCAGAAGCACAGTAATAAATAAAGATGTAATAAAACTTGGAGATCACAAAAGGTGAATACATTTGGGCTTTTGAGAACATTTTTGCGCTAAATCACTAACATTTGGTTTTTGCTCATTCGAGAACTCTAACCAGGCAGTCTATACCTCAGTATGTGGCTGAAACCAACTCTTGAACATACCATAGACTTCTGTCAAGACTTGAACTAATCACTGCGTAACTCCTTTTTTTCGACGTCATCGTATATTAGCCGACACTATTCGCTGAGTAAGGCGAAAATAACTCTGCCTTCTTTCTAACAAACGCTTACACACTTTTCATGTGTTGACTTACAGGGATCTGTTTAATTTCAAGTTTTATCAGAAACTGACTTCATTTGGAAAATCAGATTTCGACCCCATGTGACCGATGGGGTATTTAATAAGTGCCTATTATCACCGACAATATTCCTAATTGTAGTGGACTGCATTATGCATCAGATTGGGGTAGGGTGGGGAGCGAGAAGACAGGAATACACTAGACGGATAGAAAGACGCTAGAAGATCTGGAATTCGCGCGTGGATGATTTACGTCTCATGTCACACAAACTCGAAGAGATACAGGTAAAAACCAATAAGCTGTCTGAAGAGACGGCAAAGACAGGATTCCAGGTGAATATAGAGAAGATGGAGGTGATGAAGATAGACAACCAACAACAAAAAGCACCAGTCACTATCAGTGGGAGAAATTTCAAAGAGGCTAGCTCCCTCACTTATTTAGGCAGCATCATTTCAACTACAGGTGGACAACACATATGAGGACATCATAACCAGCGAGGATAGGAAAGGCAAGGTACACCTTCATCACTCTGAAATCAGTTTGGAAATCTTCTGCACTCCACAGTTTAAACAATAAGATTCGGATTTTCAACACCGATGTTAATTCAGTCAGTCAGCCAGTCCTCCTATGTGGGTCGAAAACTTGGCCAGCGCGTCACGAAGGGCATTTCGAACAGGTTGCAGAATTTTATCAACAGCTATGCCTTTCGCTGGGTTCGAAGTGAAGATCAAATGGCCAGTCGGTCAGAAACAATTAGCAACAAGAAACTGCGGGAGCGAACCAAACAAGAGCCTCCTATTGGTCAACAAATATGTGGAAAGAAATGAAAATGGATTGAACAAATGCTGAGGAGACCATCGAGTGACATTGCACTCAGTGCAGGTCACCTCTCCAGTGGTAGCGAAATGGGAAACGACGAGTTGGGCGTCACTTTGAGCGTGAATTGTAGGAGATCTTGTGATGGAGAGGAGGTGAGAGACTTGGAGTAATCATGGGCCGATCTAAATTGGACAGCAGAAAATAGAACGGAATGGATATATGCTGTTGAAGTACTATGTTCCACGTAAGAAGGTCTACACTTCCTGGTTGGGGTCCTAGGGACAGCAAAACCAGTGGCTGGAAACAATCGGTGACATGGCTCAAAATCGTTATCAGTGATGGTCCAGATGCATCCACTCCTTGTGACTTATGATTCCCAATTAAACTGTTTTGTTCTTCGTTATTACTATTCCTTTGTCTCACACCTCTGTTTACTGTTTCTAATATGCATTTCTCCTACTTTCTTCTCTTGCTTTGTGTGCTACAAGGAGGGAGTGTGGCGACTTGAACTGCAGCACATATGTGCAAAGATCTATGTCGAAAACAGACAGATTATGTTCCACTCGGAACTAAAGGAAATAATAATAGTGTTGTTGATGAGTTTCAAACACGGACGAAACAGTTATCCCTTACTTAGTATTTCCAGTGATTCTCTCTTCTACTGAAGTCAGACAATTTGTGATCCATATCGAGAAAGAAGAATAGTGAAGCAAAGCTATACATATTCAACATTCAATTCTATGGCGGAGGGGGCAGAAAAAAGAACCGATAACTTCACCGAGTATTTATTTATATAAAGACTATACATACAAAAGACACGCAATACTGTTTGAAAAATAAGGTGACAGGGGAGGGGGAGAAAACAAATGCGTCTCTCACTCGATTCCCTCCACCCGCCAAGTATCCGCAAAAACAGAAATTGAAATTTGATTTACAAAACGGAAGAAAGAAAGAACCGTTGAAAGAAAACAGAAACAGCATCACTTCATAAATTAGTTCATCCTTATCAATTTCATCAGTGTATTCATTGTTCTGCCTTGTGGTCCAAGACCACCGTGTAACCAAGCTGTACCATCGCTACGGCATACATTACAAACAGCATATGCTCTTGACTCATTGATTGCACCGATTCTAGAGAAGAAAGACAGGCAAAAGATGTACATATATTTAGTCAATGATGATAATAATAATTTTAACCTCATTATTAAAATTTCCAACCCTTTCTTCCTTTATGCTGTTGAGTACTAAGTAATTTACAACTTTCAGCTTTGTAACGATAGAAGACAAGGGCCAGGAAACAGATCATTTATAGAGAAAATCAACAGATATTTACAGACTTTATGTACATTATTATTAGCAGAGAAGCAACGTCTTCTGATTGGTTGTTTTCTTATTGAAGGTTATTCTGCCATCCCTTTGTTACCGTTTCTTTGAAGGTCATACCATATATCTGCGAATCGTATTTGCACACACTACGTCTACTGTGATTGGTTGGTGAGCTCCTCAAGGTTAAGCTTTGTTATTGCTTTTTCTCATGACCCCGATTCGGGACGTAAACATTGACGTAAATTGTTGTGTACAATTTTGGCTAGCAGACAACTCTCACCACAGCTTTACTTCTAAAGCCACTTCTGAGTAATTATATCAATTAAATAAACCGCCTGCCTATTACCCAATAATAGACTACTATACATTTTTGGTAAATATAAATACGACTGTACAGCCTTTGTAGGAAGGAAGATGATTTCGTCGATAAAGAAGACCTCACTTCGCTAAATTGTCTTTTATGATGAAAATCGCAAATAATAACGATGTGATCGAAGAAGTTAGACGTTAGACAGACTCAATAAGCGTGACCCAACCAATGAATGATCACAGGATTTCATCATGAGGTGACATTAGTTAGAGAACCATTGGAAAACCAGCTGGGAGTACTGGACAGCTGTTTCCCCGTCCTATTTTGGGACTCTTCAGCAGTACGCAACCACTGGGATTCGAACCCAGGGTCTTCTGGTTACAAGGCGAGATCGTATACTGATGAAGAGTCCCGAACTATGCTGACGAAACAGCTGTCCAGTACTCCCAGCTGGTTTTCCAATGGTTCTCTAACTAATGTCAGCTCATGATGAAATCCTGTAACCAATCAATCAAATCCCTACAAACCAACGCTTGAATATCAATGAATGATCACCTTGGAACAGTTATGCATACCAAGGCTGTGAAACCAGGTGAAAAAACAACACCATATATTCATGGGAAAATACTTGTTGAATGCATTCCAAATTAATTTGTTTATTAGATACATCACACACAGTGTGAAACAGTATTATTACTTTTCCAACCTCATCCTATGTCAGCTAATATTGCCAGTGGGTCGAGGAAGCCAATGGCTCGTTGTGCATGCGTAACACATATCCTAACCATCTCAATCGGAGTAACTTCACACAACCTCTTCGATTGATTTCCCCTCCCACCTACCCAGCTAGCATTCGACCGATGCCTAACCTCAATATTTCTCACCTTATTATACCACCACCTAACACAAGAGATACAATGCAGACATCTATGATCAAAGACAGCTAGCCGGCCTTTTCATGTCTGCCACACTTTCAGTTGCCATGACTCACAGTCATAAAGGAGGAAGGAGCGGACCGCTGAACAGTACACACGTCCTTTGGTCGATAGCCATAGCCGGATATCACGTTTACGCCAGAGATGGCGTAAGTTCGTGTATTCACCAAACTAACCCTCTATATCATATCATGAGCTGACATTAGTTAGAGAACCATTGGAAAACCAGCTGGGAGTACTGGACAGCTGTTTCGTCCTAGCTTGGGACTCTTCAGGAGTACGCACCCACCGGGATTCGAACCCAGGACCTTCTGGGTACAAGGCGAGTTGGTATACCATTAGGCCACTGGGACCCGATCCAATGGCCCATGAATTCTCTTTTACCGATTCACGACATAGCGCGACCCCTAGCCAATGTCTTCGGCGAGTATTTGTCCTCACACCCGACCTGCTGCACCCTACTCACTAGCGACTTACCCTACTCAGGTAGGTAGTTACCTGGGGTTCTAGTGAGAAGTGGTGACCAGTAGGGTGCAGTAGGTCGGGTATGAGGACAAATACTCGCCAGAGATATTGGCTAGGGGTCGCGCTATATCGTGAATTCGCAGAAGTTAGAAATCATGGGCTGGCCATTGGATCGGGTCCCAGTGGCTTATTGGTATACCAGCTCGCCTTGTAACCAGAAGGTCCAGGGTTCGAAACCCTACGGTGAGTGCGTACTGATGAAGAGTCCCAAACTTGGCTGACGAAACAGCTGTTCAGTACTCCCAGCTGGTTTTCCAATGGTTCTCTAACTAATGTCAGCTCATGATGAAATCCTGTAACCAATCAAATCCCTACAAACCAACACTCGAATAACCCTCTACATCCGTGCTGAGATTTCATCAGCGATTAATCCGCTGGGGCTGATATAAAGCCACTAGCAATCAGTACGAGAGAATTAGGAAGGTATGGATTGCCTGACATGAGACCACTAATTTGTACGAATCAACAATCGGAAACACTTGGTGGTATGGCTGATGGATGGAAATTAGAAAGAAGAGAACAAAAAGTTCAGCAAAGATGACGATCTTTTCGGCGATTTCATTTTATAAAGCAACTGTACAATCACATTCAAATACATAGTTTTACAGGGATACATAATTACAACGGTGAATAAAAGGTGACAATTACTTTCAACTAGATCTGGTTTACGAGAGGCTTAGAAACAAAATTACATAGGATTAGAACGGATAACAAGAGTGTAAAAATGAGTATGGAAACAAAATTGAAATAATAATTCTTACTTGAAATGGAAGTTAGGAGGTGTGAATATAGATTACGAGAACCTTAGAAATAATCAGGAGTGCCATTATTGAACATCTGATCAACACTTCCCACAACATTTCAACTGATTCTTTCAAAGTAATTTACAAAGTCAACAGAAACCTACCAAAAGCAGTATGTTTCCAACTTCTTTGGACTGCAGAAGCCCTCGCAATATGCATCGAGAAGCCGGAGTTGTGTGTTCAGAAGTAATTAGTCCAACCTCTACAACTACCATGGACTTAGTTCGGTATGTTCCCTTAGCTTCGGATTTTTTTGGATGTTTCTTCGTTCGCTGTGTGTGTGATTCTTACGTCCTCTGTCTTCATTCGCTTCACCTCATTTTTTCAGTTATAAAAGCAGTTATTTTAAGTTTGTTTCCATGCTTTTCCTGCTCACATATATAATTCGCTTAAAAATTAACTATTTTACAATCATATCTTAATCCTGTGCAATTTTTGTGTTTGCAAGGCTCTTGTAATCTATATTCACACCTCCTAACTTCCATTTCAAGTTAAAATTATTATTTCAATTTTGTTTCCACGCTCATTTTTTGCACACTTGTTATCCGTTCTAATCCAGTGTTAATTTTGTTTCTGAGCCTCTCGTAAACCAGATCTAGTTGAAAGTAATTGTCACCTTTTATTCACCGTTGTAATTATGTATCCATGTAAAAAACTATGTATTTGAATGCGATTGTACAGCTACTTTTGAAAATGAAATCGCCGAGAAGATCGTCATCTTTGCTGAACTTTGCCTTCTCTTCTTTCTAATTTCCATTCATCAGCCATACCACCAAGTGTTTCTGACTGGTGATTCTTACAAATTAGTGATCTCATGTCAGGCAATCCATACCTTCCTGCTTTTATCAAACTGATTGCTAGTGACTTCATATCAGCCTCAACGGGTTGGTCGCTGATGAAATCCCAGCACGTAAGCGTGATATCCGGCTGGCTATCGACCTATGGACGTGTGTACTACTCAGCGGTGCGCTCCTTCCTCCTTTGTGGCAGACATGAAAAGGTTGGCTAGCTGTCTTTGATCATAGGTGTCTGCGTTCTATCTCCTGTGTTAGCTGGTGGTATAATAAAGTGAGAGGTATTGAGGTTAGGCATCGGTTGAGTGCTACGTAGGTGGGAGAGGAAATCAATCGACGAGGTTGTGTGAAGTTACTCCGATTGAGATGGTTTGGATATGTGTTGCGCATGTACAACGAGCCATCGGCCTCCTCGACCGATGGGAAATATTAGCTGACATAGGATGAGGTTGGAAAAGTAATAATACTGTTTCACACTGTGTGTGATATATCTAATATACAAATTAATTTGGAATGCATTCAACAAGTATTTTTCCATGAAGCTATGGTGTTGTTTTTTCACCTGATTTCACAGCCTCAGTATGCATAACTGTTCCAAAGTGATCATTCATTGGTTGGGTCACGCTTGTTGAGTCTGTCTAACGTTTAACTTCTTTGATCACACCGTTATAATTTGTGATTTTCATCATAAAAGACAATTTAACGAAGTGAGGTCTTCTTTATCGACGAAATCATCTTCCTTCCTTCAGAGGCTGTACAGTCGTATTTATATTTCATGCAACCGGTTCCCTTTATTTATATTTACCAAAAAATGTATAGAAGTTTATTAATGAGTAATAGTCAGGCGGTTGATTTAATTGATATAATTACTCAGAAGTGGCTTTAGAAGTAAAGCTGTGGTGAGAGCTATCTGCTAGCCGAAATTGTAGACAACAATTTAGGTCAATGTTCATGTCCCGAATCGGAGTCATGAGAAAAAACAATAACAAGGCTTAACCTTGAGGAGCTCATCAGCCAATCACAGTAGACGTAGTGTGTGCAAATACGATTCGCAGTTATATGGTATGACCTTCAAAGAAACGATAATCGCGATTGTACAGTTGCTTTTGAAAATGAAATCGCCGAAAAGATCGTCATCTTTGCTGAACTTCGTGTTCTCTTCTTTCTAAAATGTCCTTATGGGTGTTTTTCACGAATGAAAATTAGTCGGAATGTTTAGAGCTTTAAAGATAATGACCAAGAATGAAGAGACGTCTGCATCACTCGAAAACGATTCAGAACCGTGAGCCTCCAGGATTCCGAGAATCGAAAGCTCGGATAATCCCAACCTTCCTTACAGTGGATGCTTACTATTCCTCCCCCCCTTACAAGCGAAAACCGACAAACTGGTCGAAGAAGCAGCCAGAGAAGACAGGACTCCAGGTGAACACAGACAAGACGGAGGTTATGAAAACAACCAACCAACAACAACAACAGTAGCAACATCCAACGCCAATCACCATCAACGGGAGGGATTTGAAAGAGGTTACTTCATTCACTTATCTAGGGAGCATTGTCTCAACTACAGGAGGAACGGACGACGATGTCAAATCGAGAATCAGTAGCGCGAGAAACACATTCATCAACCTGAAACCAATCTGGAAATCTTCGTCACTCAGCAACACTCAACAACAAAATTCGGATTTTCAATACAAACGTCAAGTCAGTCAGTTCTTCTATACGGATCAGAAACTTGGCGGGTCACAAAGAATATTTCCAACAGCCTGTTGCAGACCTTCATCAACAACAACTGTCTTCCCTGGCTCTATAGTGAAGATCTGATGGCCGCCGGAAAGAATCACCAACAAGAAACTATGGGAACGAACAAAACAAGAACCAATCTCTCAACAAATATGCAGGAGAAAGAAGGGGAGATGGATTGGACACTGGCTGAGGAGGCCGTTGGGTGACATCGCGCGTCAGGCCAGTGCTCGAGTGCAACCCGAAAGGAAAGTGGCGAGTGGGACGTCAGTGCAAGGGTGACATGGAGGAGATCGTGTGAAGAGGAGTTGAAACAGTATGGACTAACATGGATGCAAGTGAAAAGTACAGCCGAAGACAGAAGCAAGCGGAGACGTGTAGTTGAAGCCCTATGTTCCACTAGGAACCCAAAAGAACAATAATAATAAAAATAATTTACCTAACGCCCCCTCACCGAAATGAAATAAATTATAAATTTACGGAGAATGAAAGACACTTAAAGATTTTTAAAAAATTATGTTTTAGCAATGATTACAACTCACTCATAAATGATCGGTTTACTACCATTTTCACTGTATTTTAATAGGTAGGCTGAATTTAGCGGTTCATTTTTCAAAGCATTATAACCCTCGCCTGTACCAATGAATAAACCTCCGACACCCGGGACTATACAATGACCACGCCATCCACTGTATTAGATGTCAAAAAAACGATGCGGGAGGAAAAAAATGAAGACAATGAAAGAAACATTCAATACTGTGATACTTGATGGTTAGATGACAGTCTAAAATAAATTTAATTCAATTTTAGATTTCCCAGTCGATTGATCGGAAAGAACTGCTCGGTCTCAGGTTGACATGTCAACTCCCCTAGTGGATGCTTCAACAATGTCTGAGGCTGATTACCTTGAAATAATTTGGTGATTTGAACTAATTCGGCCGCCTGATCTGAGTTAAACTGGGTACATCGCTGCTGCTGACGAGGGGCTTGGCCTCAAATGAGTGAAACGGCCGTCATGTGATGTTTAGATGACATGAATCTGGTTGGTTGGGAAGCATTACTGGCTGATATGGGCGGTATACAACTACTACTCATCTCAGCCAATCAATCAGTAGTATATGGATAGTTTTATGCAAATTTGCTTGCTTTCTTAATTGCCAGTTATGACAGTATCAAACAGATCACATATCTTGGTATTTTGATAAAAATTTGGTTTCCAAACGTAACTGCGATGAACATTTCACCTCCATGAACTGTGTAAATCGCAAATTGCTGATCAATTTTAGCAATTGAATTGAGTGCCAATCGCTTAATGGCCTACCAGCTAGCTCGCCTTATAACCAGAAGGTCGTGGGTTCAAACTCCTGTGGTGGTGGGTGCGTACCAATGAAGAGTCCCCAAAAAGGTGGACGAAGCAGTAGTGTGTATGTATGTGCAGTACTACTCTCAGCTGGTGGTTCCTCAATAGTTCTCTAACTTTTCCAACTCGTCATCAAACCTGTAACCACCAATCAAATTGCCCCGCTCAAACCAATATTTAAACTGTTAATCTGAGTTAGGAAATATCATCTGTGAAATTTTGTAGGCGGTTCATAGGCCGATGATAAGATCTTAGTCGGGATACAACTCAAAGTAAAAGATCACTTCAAACATAAATCTGTACACTAAATAATCCAAAGTTTTTTTTCAGATTGGCTGATGGTGACTAGAAGTAGTGGAATGCACGAGGATACGCATTTCGTCGCACTTGGAACTCGTCAGCCAGTGGATGTGCCTACATTCCCCAGTGTGTCGGGAGTGGTGGTGTTTCCCTCACTGAGGTTCAAACCCCAAGTAGCCATCGTTTCAAACACCGACCGATCACTTCGGTCCAATCAATAGATGGGAAAATCTAAAATTCAATTAAATAATTAATAAGACCCGTTGCAAAAAAGGTGGCTGTCGTGGTCCAAGTGGTCCAGTGGATAAGGCTTTGGCGTTTGAAACGATGGGTTTTGGGGGTTTGAGCCTCGTTGAAGGAAACACTGCCACTCCCGACACACTTGGGAATGTAGGCACATTCACTGGCTGACGAGTCCCAAGTAGGACGAAATGCGTATCCTCGTGCATTCCACTACTTCTAGTCACCAACAGCCAATCTGAAAAATGCTTTGGATTATTTAGTGTACAGATTTATGTTTGAAGTGATTTTTTCTATTTGAGTTGTATCCCGACTGAGATCTTAACATCGGCCTATGAACCGCCTACAAAATTTCAGAGTTGACAGTTCCTAACTCAGATTAACAATTTAAATATTAGTTTGCATGGGGGAATTTGATTGGTGGTTACAGGTTTGGTGACGAGTTGGAAATCAGTTAGAGAACTATTGAGGAACCACCAGCCAGGGAATAGTACTGCACACACACATAAACACAACTGTTTCGTCCTCCTTCTTGGGACTCTTCATCAGTACGCACCCACCACCACAGGAGATCGGACCCGCAATCTTCTGGTTACAAGGAAAGTTAGCTGGTAGGCCATTTAGCCATTGGGACTCGGCCCAATGCCCAAAATTGATTAGCAATTTACATATCTCGACAAGTGAAATTATAGTAGCGAAGAAGAGATCACAGTCTGCTCTGACCCAACTCAAGCCGATAAAACCTCACGGTAAATTTACTGCTGACCCTACGAAATTTGTGTTCAACTTCCTTTCAGTAACTTTATCTGACTTGCTGCTAGAAGCATTGTCTTTGGATACAAAACTCTGCGATACTAATTTCAACGTCGATAAACTCCATACGCATGCACAGTTTGAAAATTTAATTAGCCGAATGAACGATCTGGTTCAAACATCTAACAGTGATAATAGGATTTTATCATGAGCTGATATAGGTTAGAGAACCATTGGAAAACCAACTGGGAGTACTGGACAGCTGTATCGTCAGCGTAGTTTGGGACTCTTTAACAGTACGTAACCACCGGGGTTCGAACTCAGAAACTTCTGTTAACTAGGCGAGCTTGTAGACCTGTAACCAATCCCTACAAACCAATACTTGAATATCAATGAGATGTTCACCAGCTACTGGCCCTATTCAGGTAGCTAGTTACCTGGGGTTCTAGTGGGAAGTCGTGACCAGTAGCGTGCAGCAGGTTGGGTGTGAGGACAAATACTCGCCGAAGACATTGGCTAATGGTCACGCTATGTGGTGTATTGGCAGAAAATGGAATGGGCCAGCCATTGAACCGGGTCCCAGTGGCTGGATGTTTTACGAGCTCGCTAGCCTTGCCACCAGAAGGTCTTGGGTTCGAATCCCGGTGGGCGCGTACTGATGAAGAGTCCCAAACTAGGACGAAACAGCTGGCTGTTCAGTACTCCCAGCTGGTTTTCCAATGGTTTTCTAACCAATGTCAGCTCATGATGAAATCCTTTAACCAATCAATCAAATCCCTACAAACCAATACTTGAATATCGAACGATAAGTTACAACGATTCAAATCAACAATCATCGATTGCGGTTACCAGTACCTCAGTACAAAAACAAGAGTCCGTAATCACCTAACAAAGCAGCACTGAAAAGGAATAAACAACAAGAAACTGAGGGGAAGAAAAACAAGCAGTAGCACCGACTGCTCAAGAAATATGCCTAATAAAATGGAGATGGATCGGAAATATTCTGCTCGGTCGGTCAGTCGGTTTCGACATGGAACTTTGCATATATGTGCGGCAGTTCAAGTCGCCACACTCCATGTACCACACAAAGGAAGAGAAGAAAGTAGGAGAAATGCATAGTATAGACAGTAAACAGAGGTGTGAGACAAAGGAAGAGTAATAACGAAGAACAATACAGTTTCATTGGAAATCATAAGGCACAAGCAGTGAATGCACCTGAGCCAGCTAATGAGAACGATTTTGAGCCGCATCATCACCATTTGTCTCCAGCCTTTATTGGTTTTCACTGTCCGGAGGACCCCAACCAGTCAGGTAGTCTACATCTTCCTACGTGGCTTAAACTAACTGTTGTAGATTTCATTGACTGATGCCATGTTTTGGTTTGACCGCCGCTAGCTCTTTTCCAGCCTGACCTATATCAGCTAACATTGCCCATTATCGAGGAAGGCGATGACTAGGCATACGTGACACATGTCCTAACCATCTCAGTCGATGTAATTTCACAGCCTCGTCGATTGATTTCCCCTCCTACCTACCTAGCACTCGACCGATGCCTAACCTCAATATTGCTCACCTTATTATACCACTTCACACGGGAGATAGAACGCAGACACCTATGATCAAAGACAGCTAATCTTTTCTTGTCTTCCACTCTCAATGGCCAGGTCTCACAGCCATGAACTTACTTTTGATTAGATGGTGCAAGTGGAGTTAGTTTGACGTTTTGCTTTTCCATATCTTGAATAAACTTTGTCACAATTGTACACGAGGTTAAAGGATAATCAAGTGAACCAGGCCAATTTAAGGAGAAGAGGTGGTCCTTTTTTCTACCTTTTTCTATTTTCCATTTTAATATATCGATTGAATTTGATTTACAACCACCAATAGTAACAAGGGTAGTTGGTGAGATAGCTGTCGATGTATGATAACTTCTCGATGAGGCAGTTAAACTTGAGTCTGCCTCACAGTAGACAAATTTCATTCGTCTTGCAGGCAGATCTTCGTCTAATAGATAACCTATTGAAAATTATTTTTAAAAAACAGAAAAAGGGATTCATATGAAATGAAAAGGAAACTAAATGACATTCAATTAAAGAATAAGGGGGACGAGGAAAATGGCTAGTTTTTGATAAAACTAGTCTTTACATCAGTGAGTGGTCCAAACTAAATGGTCTCATGCTGAATCCCTCAAAATGCCAGACTATTGACTTCTCCCTTAGGCATATAAACGAGATCTACAAACACACTAGTAAGTTCTCATGAAGACTGTTGCACTGAGGGGACTAAAATTGAAACTAAGTCTAATACAAAATACCTCGGTCTAGTTCTATCTTCCGACCTTACTTGGACATCTCATATCCTAACGATTTCTAAGAAAGTGTTCTGTCTTACCTACTACACTAAGAAACTTAGACAATCTGGAATCACCCAACCTCTACTTTCACAATTTGTCAACTCTTGTATCTTACCTATTCTACTTTACTGCTCCCTGTTAGTCTTTCCCGGTCTACTGAAACAGGACTATACCATCCTGAGAGGGATGTTGAAGGTAGTCAGTAGGACTAGTGGTGTAAAACTCAGTCAGCTCGTCACTACATTAATAGAAAGGCATCTGAATACATGCGAAAAATGGTCTTAAACCATACTCTCCGACCCCCAACACCCCTTCTATTCCCAACTCTCTCCTTGTATCTCATCAAGTAAAACCAGAAATCAGTATAAAATAATCTATGCTCGTACAACCAAGTACAGGAACTCAAAGATACCATATTTGGCCCGTGTTATAAGTGACAGAGACAATGTTAAGCGTGAAACCGATGACTTGCTTTGTTGTAAATAACATAATTTTAGGCTCTTTTATTTCTCTCTTATTTTGTATTCTTTAGTGAACTCCTTCTCAAACATACTTAGCTACTTAAATTATTAACATTGGCTTCCTTTTTTGTACTTTACTATATTCCTTCTATTGTGTATCCACTGGTTCCGACTATATTAGCACTATGAGTATTACAAAATTGTCCTGTCATTAACCATCATGTAATTATTAGTTTTGTGGTTGCTTTTTCTTATTTTCTATACTTTTCGGCAATATTAAACTGACAATCATTGGTTGTGAACGCCATAGTCACCACCTTAAAAAATTTTGTATTATCCAGGATTACTCACACTACCACTACAAACACTGCATTAGACCTGACAATAAAAAACAAAACAACAACCCTGAAATGTTATTTTATGATTGTTTAGTGTTGTTTCAACCTAAATTAACTGATCATCTTGGCGATGAACATTCTTAAATATCATTTCATAACTTCTTGTATGACTACAGCTTTACTGTCACCATGCATAATCATATCATAGCTTCCACTACCCAATACTGAGATATTATTATATGCTGTTTATTTTCCTTTCTACTTCTTGGTATTTTTTCGCATTTTTAAAAAGTTATTTTTGTGTTTTTTTGTGTTTTTTGTTGTTGTCTTTATATTTATTTTTTGAAATACTCCTTTTAAATGTTTGGTAAAATTAGATGCAAATATTGTAGATATGTGCTGAAAATTCCACACTGTACCACTAGTACTGTTTCTGGAATAAAGCAAATTATTATTATTATTTACACGAATATATCAAAATTGTTGTGTTTTTCTTTGATGCAATTATAAATATGCTTTTGACATAGTTTGAAAAAAAAGGTTATGAGGAATAAGAGTATACACTACCATTATAGTGGTCAAGATATGTGTATTGATAACATTTGAAACTTCGACTTGTATATTACTGAAGTTCACTCAAGGTCCGACATTTTAGTTTCCTTGCGTGTGTTGGTGGCTCTGTGGTGGTAAAGTGCTTGTCAAACAAGCAAGTAGCCTTCGACCGGCACACTCCCAAACGTCGGTAAGCCGATAGTGAAGCCGGTAAAGAAGGTAGGTTGGGCGTGAGGCCAGCAACCCAGCCCCGTAAAAATAAAAGAAAAATTCCACTGCTACTGAAACTACAAAGAGCGAGTTTGAAGCCCTATGTTCCACTCGGGACGTACAGAAGTAAAATATATAAAAATATACAGGTTTCCTTGTCAGAGCAGGATGATATCTTGATAGTGCTAGCTGTAGCCAATCAACCAAATCCCTACAAACCAATACTTGAATATCAATAAGATGCTCACTGGCGACTGGCCTTATTCAGGTAGGTAGTTACCTGGGAAGTCGTGACCAGTAGGGTGCAGCAGGTCGGGTGTGAGGACAAATACTCGCCGAAGACATTGGCTAGCGGTTGCGCTAGAAGTTAGAATTCATGGGCCATTGGATCGGGTCTCAGTGGCTGATGAATGGTCTACGAGTTAGCTCGCCTTGTAACCAGAAGGTCCTGAGTTTGAACCCCGCAGTGTGGGTCCGTACCGATGAAGAGTCCCAAACTAGGCTGACGAAACAGCCGTACAGTACTCCCTGCGGCTGGTTTTCCAATGGTTCTCTAACCAATGTCAGCTGATGATGAAATCCTTTAACCAATCAACCAAATCCCTACAAACCAATACTTGAATATTACAATCAATATGGCAGCCTTAGACTAAATTAAAACAGAACTAACTGCAGATACTGAACTTACTCATAGGATAAAGCTGTCCATCGGGGAAGTTATTATAGGAATTCAGTTATGCCTCACATCTACTATCTTTAAATTCCAGGGTAAAATATATAGATAAACAGAATTTGTAGCAATGGGATCATCAATATTCCCTATCGTAGCAGATATATTTATGGACAGCCAGTAGGGAAAATATTGCTCTTAATACATTTAATCCTACTCCAAAAATATGGTGGAGATATGTGGATGACACTTTCACACATAGTGTTAAAAACAGAACATATCTCTGGTTTCTTCACACACATAAACTCATTAGTAAGTGGGAATAAAATTCACATTTGAATCACAAAATGAACAAGGAGAATAAGCTATGGTGTTAGATTGTAAAATAAAACGAATAGAAGAAGGTAGACTGCACACGTATTATAATAGATATTTAGACTTTAATTCATCTCATCCGTGATCTAAACTCCACATGACGGCTGTTTCACTCGTTTGGGGTCGAGCTCCCCACCATCGGTGTACTTGGCCGGTTTAAATCAGCTCAGGTGGCCGAATCAGTTCAAACCACACCCGATTTCCAGTCGAATTGGTCATACCATGAACCGAGTATACCGCTAATGAGGAGTTCGTCCTCAAACGACCGAGACGACCATCCTGTGGTGTTTAGATCACACCTTGACCTGGCTAGTTGGTAAGCACTACTGGCTGATATGAGTGGTGTGGTGTACAACTACTACTCATTTCAATTAATCAGTAGTACATAGTTGTATTTAACCTTTAAAGTTTCAGTAGTGCTTATGGTGTTGTTACTGGGTGGAGTTGGTAGCCTGACGCCTAACCCTCCCTTTCTCCCAGGCTCACTACAGGCCTGTACCGGCCGGGAATCGAACCTCGAACCTCTTGAAGAGTGGCTGACAGACATTCTTCCCCTAAGTCACCCATGCACTCCCCTAATATCATACTGTAACGGAATGTTTACTTGGGAATTTTGATATCTCCATATTGGAGTAATTCCAATCACCATCAACGGGAGTGATTTAAGAGAGGTTGCCTCCTTCACTTATCTAGGAAGTATCGTATCAACCACAAGTCGGTGGAACGGATGAAGATGTCGAAGTCAGAATCGGAAGGGCAAGATACGCATTCATCAACCTGAAAGCAGTTTGGAAATCTCCTGCGCTCAGCGTACACAATAAGATTCGCATTTTCAACACAAATGTCAAGTTGGTCCATCTATACGGGTCAGAAAATTGGAGTGTAAAGAAAAGGATTTCCAACAGCCTGTCGCAGACTTCCTATCAACAACTGCCTTCGTTGGTTCCAAAATGAAAATCAAGTGGCCAGAAAGAATTAGCAACATAGCGACTGGAACGTTCAGCCCCACCCCAAAAGTATGGTGGAAGTATGTACTGTATGTACTGTACTTAGAACACAGGATATAGACAGATTTTTCGAACACATTAACTCGAAGGTTGAAGCATTTCAATTCACTTATGAATTAGAAAGACAGGAAGGAGAGCTTTCAATGTTAGATTGCAGCGTAAAAAGGAAAGAAGATGGGAAGTTAAACACACTGGTGTTTACAGGAAACCCACACACTCAAACAGATATTTGGACTTCCGATCATCCCATCCTTTGTCAGTAAAATAGGATTGGTGAAATGTTTAAGTGGCAGGGCACAAAAACTAAATAGTACCAAGGAAAATCTAAGACAGGAGGTGATACATATAAGAGAAGCCTTGAAACTGAATAATTACCCTGACAAATTAGTCACGAAATATGTAGGGAAATGTAAAAATAAAATAAATAATGATAGTAGCGATAGTGATAATAATAATATTAATGAAGACATGCATGTCAAACATGCACAGGATAATGACAACACCAACAATAAGAAATCCAAGTCATCAGTATTAATTCCATACGAGGAAGAAACCTCGGAAATTTTACGCAGAATTTCTAACAAGGCAGGAATAAAAGTGGCTGGCATTAAAACCAACCACAAACTCAATTAGAAACAAGCTTTGTCGGTTAAAGGATCAATCCTGTGAAGCCTTTAAAACAAAACAATTTAATTTATCTAATACCCTGTATGCAATGATTGTAAGGCCAAATACGTAGGTCAAACTAGTAGAACAGGAGCAGTCACACTAGCCGAGCATAAAAACCTAGCTAAATCTAGATTGGTTGACCCGAATAAGATAAGAAGTCTAGAGAATAGTTCAGCTATAGCACTCACTACATGCAGCTACACACAACCATACAATAGGCTGGATGGGATAGGATGACAGTTTTGAAATGTGATGTCAAAGGGTGGAGGGAGAGATTAATAACAGAAGATTTGTTTATCCAATCAACTGCAAATACATGTAATAGGAATGATTCAACACCTGTCCAAACAGATATCTGGAAAATTCTACTACCCCTACGACGACAAATAGGAGAGAACGAAGAAGACTATAGAACTCAAGTTTCGAAGTCGTGTGATTATAATCGATATGACTATGAACAATAAATTTTGTTCGAGACATTGTCATCCAGTAAATAATACTGTTTCACTAACTGTGTGATACATCTAATAAACAAACTAATATGAAAGAATTAGCAAAAATAAACTATAGGGACAAATCAACCAAGAACCGATCACTCAACGAATATGTAGGAGGAAATGGAGACGGATCGCGCAAACACCACTGAGGAGACCGTCAAATGACATCACGCGCAATACAGGCCACCACTAGAGTGGAATCCAAATAGGAAGCGACGAGTGGGTCGTCAGTATGAGGTTGACATGGAGGAGAACGTGAGAGAAAGAGATGAGAGATTATGGGCGACCGTGGACCCAGCTGAAGAGGACGGCAGAAAATAGAACAAAGTGGAGATGTGCAGTTGAAGCCCTATGTTTCACTCGGAACCCAAGGGAACAATAATAATAATATAGGGCAATTATGTATACCTTATAAGAAAACTATCATTTGCACAAATCGTCCGTGTTATGCTACTTGCTACTTCTTCCCTTCCCTCATATTGTATTTCGTTGTCTTCTCTTCGTATCTCCCATGTTTTGCTGCAATACTGGTTACTGATTTCCTCTCTCCCTCTTTAAAGTCAAATCTATCTTGTGCCAATGAACATCTCTTTGCATATACTACTGATAAACCTTATCACAGTAGTACAAGCCACAATACTTCTAAGCATTAGGATAGTAAGAGTAAAACAAACAGTCTATCCACTTACCATAAAGTAAATAAATATTACCAGCTTTCCTTTGTATTCTTAATGAACCTTCTCGACCGATAATAATTGCTGAAAATTCATTTTTATCCACTGATGAACGGATCACTTGTGCTGAATGGGCGGATAAACCAGCCCCTTGAGGAAATCCAGTCAATAAGGGTTCATTTAAAGCGGGCGGTAACCAACTATTCGACAGAGTGTCGAATGTATGTACACCTGGGATTCGGATACGTCCATTCCATCCGCCTATTTTTTATTAAAAAATATAAAATGTAAGGAGATAAGAATTGACACGTGTTAGTATTTAGGATTTATTTGGAGTAACTATGACTTTCTTTAGGTGGTGAAATGCTTCGTTATGTATTCCTCCCGTCGTTTCATTTGAAGCGCGTCCATTGTTCAAATCAGGAATGCCCTACATGCGGCGATAGACGTGACACTCTGTGACCATTGTATACTTTTCTAATAATAGCATTCCTATGTATATAAGCCAATTGCCTCTGTTTGGCTGCCTTATCATTTCAGTGGAGTGACAGCACTACGTCCAGCGCTCTGAGTATCGATGTGAAGAAACTCACCTGGGCATGAGTGAGTTACGCGTGCCAGATGCCTCCACGTGGCGACCAACTGGAAAGGCAACCGGGAAGCTGGGCCCGAGCTAAGATCTGTCTCAAGCATAAACAACATTCGCGCCTAGCTACTCAGTCTAAACGAACTAGCAGGAAAATCCTGTTGAGATGTTCTCGATCTAGGTTTGATGACGAGGATGCTGAAGGATTGTTCTGGAACGTGAGAAGCACCATCTTAGTGAGTTGTTCTTGGACTGTGTCAGTCACTGGAGTAGCTTGCTTAACAATACACACTGGACAGAAATATAAGTAGATGCACAATCTACCCTGCATATCTGATTTTCTTGGCATTGGCAGTGAGCAGTAGTGGCTCGCCATCTCGGTGCACCGTGAATTGTTGGTATTAGGTGTTTTGAGGCAATCGGCCACAGGAAGCCTTGTTTGACCTGGGTTTCGTGCTAGTTGGCACTCATCAGCAAGGCGTATCTGCAACCTTGAAGGAACTCATGTCGCTTCTGAGATTCGAACACGCATCACCTATGGTGGCCACATTGCGAGCTTGACTGATAGAATTTAGTCTGCACCGAAGATAGGACTAGACACATTACACTAGTTACTGACTAGTGTTCAATCAAAAAAATATCCAATACAGTCCAACAGGAGGTCAATCGCGAGTCTGAATAGCTCAGTGGTAACGTCTCTGATTGCAGTACTTCACTGGGGGACGCGGGTTCGAATTCAAGAAGGGACATCAGCTCTGTCGAGGTTACAGATACGCCTTGCTGATGAGTGCCAACTA